TGGGGGGCAAGGGGAGCAACGAAAAAATCTAACCTCTTTCTATACTGTCATTGTACAGGTATCCCCGTACTGACGGGAGGAGTATAGGCACGACGAAAAAATTTTCGGTTGGGTGTGCTTTGTTATCTCTCAGACGCAGTGCTACATGTAGTTGTTGTTGAATATCAAACTTCAGATTTTAATCGGGGCGCATTTAAAATTAACATTCACAAAATAACAAATTTGAATTTAAAGCACTTGCCAAAAGTTTGCGAACAAACGCCCTCTTACTGTAGGCGAGTATGATATTATAAAACTTGGGGCAACTCGCGGTGAGTCAAGTGAAGTACTGACAATACTGTAACAACTCCCACATGGGTAACTTGCCTCTCTAAATACAGAAACTTAATGTCATCCACATGCATGCATGCACGGGCGAAAACGGACTTCAACGCGAGTATTAAATGAGGGTTAAAGGCGGGAAAAGGGGGGGGAGCTAACGAACTGAAGAACCGATGGAAGTACAAACGGAAATAGCATGGGAAAAAAGGCAAAAGATATAATGAGCCAATTTGTTAGGTCCGGGATCTTGATTATCAGGATTATCTCGAAATTTCCTTGCCCAATCAAGCCCTGATAAGTATTACTTAGTGAAACAGGATTCAGACGAATCCTTATATCCTGTTTGCTATATTAGTAATCGCCCCACAAAGGATGTGTTGCAACCTTTTAATGCCATTAATTTAACACTCCAAAGTAACGTAGCGTTTTAAAGAAATGCAGACACTAAAAGATTCGCTGCCAGGGTGCTGAGGTGTCAAGAATCAAGTTAAGTTCTGCGAAACAGTAAGTGTAAACAGTACAAAGAAACGTGCCTGGCATGAAAAATACCATATGATCAGTTTCTAAAGAAACGTGTCTATTAAGTTACAATGGAGTTTTTTATTAAGCTTTGATATCATCAGCTGTGTTTCCTCTAATTTTAGTCACTTTAGTTCTGTGTTAAGTTTATTTCCTTTTTTCTGAATATAGATGATATCTGTAATTAACCATGTAATATCCTACATTAAGCTTGGCGAAAATACAGTTTTAAAGATTAGAGCAGTTTATGATTGGTCTTATAAAGCCTTACGCTTCTCATCCACACGCACACTTACATGTATATCTCAATATACAGTCAGTCCAAGTACATAAGGCTGTTACACTATACTGCATTACATGTGCGTACGTATAGTGACAGTGTATTCTGTTTTATGTCTGCTTATCGTCTGCTGTACTGTTTCTTTTACCACATAATCTGCTATATGTTTTTTGGTTGAGAGAGGGAGAGAGAGAGAGAGAGAGAGAGAGAGCACAATGTACTTGAATGTAGCCTCATGATTGTGCGAAAAATCACTAATAATAATCACAATAATAATAACAAAAATATTAATAATGATATTGATTATAATAATAGATGAACTTATGAAATACACCTGTAGATAAATAATGAAAGAAATGAAACATTAGAAAGAAAAGTAAAAGTAAAAATAAGATGGTTCGAAATACAAACAAAGATATCCACCAATCCTAAGATATGTACTGAGATTCGCTCAGGGCAGGCAGCAACATTTCCAAGAAATCTAAAATATGAAAGTTCTACTTGGTAGTAATTAAACAGTGTTGACACATTACTGATATCAGTTCATCTGGGGGGCAAGGGGTGTTCTGGGCAAGTGTGCCACAGCAGAAACCCGGATTTAAAATTTTTAAATAGCAGTCAAATCCTGTCACGTAATTCCTGCATTTCTTAAAACTTGGGTGATATTACTGCTCATTTCCACTAATGCCAGTCTGTAGGATATCACTCTTTTCAGATTATTCAGCAAAACAACTTAACATTTCATTTACTATTTATACCGCAACTTAAGATACCAGAATTGTTTTGTGTTCAGGTGAAGAAATGCTTTATCTGATGACGCGTTTGAGGTCCGCTCAAGTACATACATGTATTATATAGTACGAAGAAAATGGTATAATTCAAGTACATTTTATATCTGAAATTACTGCCGTTTTTCTATTACAGTAAATCACGAGGTCAGATGCATCCGACCCTGCTACTTTTTCTGCTTCTGACATGCCCCCTCCACTCTGCCGGACAGGGCCCTGATGCGAACCCTCCAAGACCTGATGCCGATGGAACAGACCCCCAACCAGACGCAGGGGGTGAAACTGGTAAGAGAGCGAAGTTGACAAAAGGATCCATAAAATCGTACTTCACCAAAACATATATTGGACTTTAATTTTTTAAAAATATTCCTAAAAGCATGCTACCTCCCCTGACCAACTTAGAATAGCAGCTCTTTGTGAAACTGGTATTTTTTGTAAGATAAAAATAGAGATAAAATACCCATACACGCATGCTTGACGTATTTTAAAATGTACAAAATTACGCCATTTGATTTGTATTTTTACCATTGAAAAATTAATCTTTATGTACTATTCATTTACTATAATTTCACTTGTCTTCATCTTTAAAAACATTAACAGCTGCTTGCTATATACATCTTTAGGTGGACCAGATTTTGACAAATATGTTGGATACTTAGAGAAGGGAGTGGGCGTCGTAAGCACCATCGTTGACACCGGCATCAAAATAGGAAATCTAGTTATGAGCCACCAAGCAGCAAAACAACAGGCAGAGCAGTGGAGAAGCGGGCAGAGATTTAAACTTGAAGAGTTATGTGACAAGATTTGTGTGACAGAATGGTCGTCATGGAGTCTGTGTACAAATAGGTGTGGCGGAGGGACGACTTTCAGAACCCGTAAACATGAATTACCTGGAAGGTGAGTCTACATAAAATGTTGTGTCTTCAGCAGTTTTCGTGAAAAGCGTGATTGAAATTTGAGAGGAATTAATCACATTTTAGTGGTTATTTATACACACCATATGAAATGGTAATCCAAAGAATAACTTAGGAAAGAGAGACTGAAGCAAATATGTTTGAGGGTGGCGTTTCAAAAACTTGGTAAAGAAAATGGTATATTTTGGGAATTTGTTCCTTTTACATTTTTTGCCATTGCTTCCGTTCACTTTAGCAATTGATTATATGCAGGGGTTAAAATCAATGCTTTAATTACAGATGCAGAGACTTGCCCAACTTTGTGTGTCGACATAACACCCGGCAGGTGGCGCACTGTAACATGAAGTGCCCCAATGGCGGGTATCCAAAACCGGGGGGTGCCGGGGGGTGCAACTGTCCCAAAAGTTTCTCAGGAGACTGTTGCGATAATGGTAAATAATATAATTACATTAAGCTTATTAAATGGCATGATAAGACTCATTTTCATGTATCACTATACAGAATTTCCATGTTTTTTTCTGCAGTTAGGGAATATATGAGATCAAAGAATTAACATTCGTAATCAATATCAACCAAAAAAAAAAAAAAAAACACAGAAACTATCAACCATGAAACAAGCTAATTTCTCGAACAAGGGATTCTTCCCTGGTGTATAACTTTTTTAACGACCTTATTCACACTTAAATGGTAAAATCCTCTTTTCAGGCATCTAAATTTTTGTTTCAAGAATTTAACTAATGGAATCAGATGACAAAGTAAGTTATCTCGGCCCCAGGATCATAAAAAGTCACTTTGAAGTAACAGGGGCGTGATCATCTTTTTTTTATTTTGAAAAAAAAATTATTTCAGAGGTAACATGTCCATACCCAGGCAGACCTAGCCGGGGTAAAGTGAGCGGTGAATGGCCTGCCAAATATGGCATGGTGGCTACCTTTCAATGTGATGAAGGCTTCGCTCTGATTGGTCGAGATTTACTGATCTGCACGGAAACTGGGTCATGGGATGGAACCTTACCAAAATGTGAACGTATGTGCAATGTCAAAATACATGTACTCATGAGTTTTTTTTTCAAAATTATTTTTAATTATCGCCATTCGCTGTATATGATTTTAATTGCACTTATTCAATTAATTGAAGTTCAACCACTAGAATCACTAAAAACTTTTCTTTTTTTAATTTCAAAGAAAATGCTTTTCTGTAGGGCCTATCGCATCATTTATTTCACTCTTAATTTAATCATGACAAAATTACAGGTGTAACCTGTACCATGCCGTCTGATCCACAGCATGGCAGACTAATAAACAAGTGGGTATGATATTAAATAAAACTCTAACATGTAAAAAGTGTAATATGATGCCTTTGCTTTCTGTTTAGATTGTACAAAAACTACTAGATTAGTCACCTTCGGTACAAAAAACCAAAAACAGGAGGAGCTTGTTTCGAAGATATATGGGCATAATCTTATATTTACCTTTACATAAGCTTATGTATTTAGTAAATACTAGCTATGATCGGAAGAGCACTTGCATTGACTAATTTTCTTGATGACCTCAAAATTTTCCAGTCATAGGTGTAACCTGTTATGTTTCGTCAATTTATATCTGATAAAATGTTTATTTACGAATGTTTCGTCAATGTGTGTCTGATAAAATGCTTATTTATGAATCAAAAATAGGCAGTCGATCTACCATTATGGCGACAAACTAGTGTACCGATGTGATGATGGGTTCGAGTTCTACGGCCCAGACTCCAGAGAGTGTATTGGATTTGACGGCAGTACGGGAAGATGGACGGGTTTTGATCCGACATGCGGACGTAAGTCGTCTAGCTGCTATTTTATTTTTCTTCGTCGAACCTGCCTGTTTGGGCGGTTTAGTCGGCACAGTCACTACAATAAATATATTAAAACTACATCGCAAAGCAGGATACAAATTGGTATAAATTGGTAAAAATTTACCTGTCTATTATCTTACTATAACGTGATGGTCTTCAGATATAAGCTGTGGCGATCCAGGAACCCCTCAGTATGGGGAACGAATAGGGAACAGCTTTAAATTCAACGACGTGGTGACGTATCGATGTAAGGAAGGCTATCGCCTGCTCGGGTCCAGCACGAGGAAATGCATCTCCACTGGGACTTGGAACGGGAGAGAGGCGACCTGTGAAGGTATGGTTTCAAAAAAGGGTGGCAAAATTGTGAAGCTGATATTACGACAGCATACTATTTTCACAGCGTTATAATTTCTTCTAACGCTGTGAAAATAGTGGAACCTGAAAAAAGAAAGAGAGGAAGGCCCAAGACCACCTGGCGCCGAACAGTGATGGCAGAGCTGAGGGAGGGGGATCTTACATGGGGACAGGCCCAGCACGTATCCAGAGACAGGGCCAAATGGAAAGAAGTGACTGTGGCCTTATGTCCCACATGGGACGAAGAGCACTGATGATAATTTCTTCTTAAAATCATTTTCTCTGGATTTTTGTTTGGTATATTTTAAAGTTTGGGTGGGTCCAATTTTAAAAGTAAGCTGTTGAAAAAATGTTTAAATGAGGGATATACAAAATATGACACATCCGAGGCATTTCTCCTTAGAAAAATAAATAGAATATCTATATGGCATTTAACACAATAATTGAAATCGGTGGTATTGTTTATAATTATTGAATCATTATTAATAAAATAAAAAATATCCCTCCAACTCCAAATGCAGAGATCACGTGTGGCGAACCACCTAAGTTGAAACATGGTGCCATTATCGGAAATCGGTTCACCTTCGGGTCTCGAATATCGTTTGAATGTGAGGCTGGTTATCGACTGGTTGGAGAACCTGTATTGGAGTGTGCTGACGATGGGCGGTGGAATGGGGATGTGCCGCGATGTCAAGGTGAGTGAAAACATGTTTCTCTAAAATAGGTAATTGGATGGATGAATGGATGGACGAATAGTTAAACAAACAAAAGCAAAGATATATGGAGCATCCGAACAATCCCTCTAATCTTTTCACACGCAGGCAATTGTAAGCTATGTCTTATGCTTTATCTTCTCCTTCCAGCCGCCATATGTGGTAATCCAGGTTCACCAGAAAACGGCGCGAAGGACGGCAGCGTGTACTACTATCCCCACAACGTCACGTTCAGTTGTTTTGACGGCTATGTGCAGACGGGTCCTGACAAGATTATGTGTATGGAAAATGGCCAGTGGAGTGCTGGTATTCCTGTTTGCGAAGGTTTGTCACTATTCTGGTTTTGGTTTGATAAGAAGATGCGTCACGATTGTGTTTTTTTTTCTTGCCAGTGAGTCTTGGTACCGAGGTTAGAAGGATAGCAAACCAAGTTCTGACTGGGCAAATCCTAAATATAATGGGCGACGTACATGCTTTTGAAAAGAGTTAATATATTAAATTAATTTTCTAACAATCCTCGACAAATAACTAATGTTAGTTGACTCTCAGTCTATTTCAAATGTAAAAAATCTTTTATGATGATTTTTCCTACTTTTTTCTTCAATCGATTATGGCTAAGTAAGCGGTTACACGTATTTTACAGTTTCAATACTATTTAGGTACCATAAGAGTAACACGTATTAAATAAGTTAATAAACTCCAAAATTTTAAAGCTCACAGTCACGGCTTTATCCATGTTCCAGCGTGCCCAGTGAACAATTACAAGGGTGACACTGAAGTATGTGTGCCTTGTCCCAGCCATACTCACACTGTCAGCGAGGCCAGCACTACCCTACTGCAATGTCTGTGTGATGAGGGGTATACTGGAACACCAGGACAACCCTGTGAAGGTATGGTAGACCCCCTCTGCTCCCCTCCCCATTCTGTTTGTTAATGAGGAAAATCACTAGAAAATGAAAAAAAAAACCAAGATATTCCGCTACCCTGAATCAGGGGTACACCCGAATAAATTGGAATGACTAGCTGAAAAAAATAATTTTGTATTGATTTTAAAAACTAATGCAGTATGTATTTAAGTCGCTCGAAGAAAATTTGAGGAAACTCATATAGGCTATCTTGGTGTTAATTTTTTATGCCTTATAAAAATCCAGAGATCGCGTGTCCGCTGCTGGACGCGCCGGAAAACGGCAGCAAGTCGGACTGTGGAAATAAATGGAATGACGTCTGCGAGTTTGATTGTCGAGCTGGATATATCATTAAAAGGGGCAGCAGTCGAAGAACTTGCCAAAGCAACGGAGAATGGACTGGGAGTTCTCCTATATGTTCTGGTAAGTTTCATCTTTCAAACTATGAATTAATGTAACTGAACCTCGTATGGAAAGCCGGATGCCATCAGATCCACACATATCATATCGATGCACGCCTCTGATGTCTTCTGCTGTCACTATCAGAATTTGAAATGATAGCTGTAAAATGATAGCATTCCCTGCATATTAAGCCAATTGTTCTAGTTTGCCGGGGCTTTATATCGTTTTTAGTATTGTAGAGGGAAATGAAGAGTTTATAAATTGTTCCAGTAATTTATATGAAACAATACTTTCACTGATAAAACATTAAGCTTTGTAAAAACCATCATTGTTAAATTATTGAAAATGTTACCATTTTTATTATTGTCTTTTCTTTCAGCTTGTCCTAAGGATACCTTTAAGTCCGATCAAGCCAGCTGTCTTCCTTGTCCTAAACACTCCCATACAGCCGGCACGGGGAATATGCTGGAGGGGTGCTCATGCGACACTGGTTATCAGGGTCTCCCCGGGGGACCATGCACAGGTAAACAAAATAATCTTGTTCTTCTCACAATTTTTTCAACTGAGTCAAACGGGGTGATTTCACATTTTCTACTCATAATGCAGAGTTACTAAGCCTACGTATACACTGCACTATACACATGCCTACATTATGTTATTCACTATTACTAAAAACGACTTAAAAAGTCACCCTTTTCATTATTTCAAGATGTGAACGAATGTCTTGTGAACAATGGCCGCGGACTGTGTGAAGATGTATGTGAGAATACTGATGGAGGTTACCAATGTCGCTGCTCCATACCCGGGTACGATGTCGATCCTCTGGACATGCATAAATGCCGAGGTATGTGTTTTACTCGTCTTCAGGTTTGCCAAATGTTGATTAAAAAGCTAGTGACATGTATTCAGCGACGTCCATATGTGAATGAGATATCATAATTAAAATCATCGTGGGGTTTCAAGTTATTTACATATTTTTTGTATTGTTTTCACAATATAAAATAAAATCATGAAATGGATCCGATAGAAACCAGTAGTCAAATTCGTATGATGGGATTCAGCAATCACACTCTTACCATTCTTTGTATTTTTTGTAGTCGATAAGCAATGTCGTAACCTGACCGAGTCTGACGCACCTACCAATGGTGGCTTGGTGTGCCACTGGTACAGGGAGCAGAACTCTCAGCAGTGCTCAGTTCGCTGTAATCCCGGCTACGAGTTCCCGGCCAGAGTTAACAACTACGAAACCTGTGGATCTACAACTGGCTTTATTTGGTCCCACGAAGAAAGAGAAGAAGTGATTGAACCATGTATTGGTGAGTTTGTAATGGCCCCTAATTTTAATTGCCGAGTATAAATTTCACAACCCTATTTCTCAACGCAGAAGAGAGGAAACCTTGTTGATAATGTAAAAATATATATTTTGCAAAACTGAAGAAAAAGAAATAAACCTAAAATAGTAGAAAATAAATGTTTTATCTTCAGAAAAAGTAACATATATTTTTCATTTCCAGAGGAATTCTTCCCAGATTTTCGCCTGGAAGCCAATTCCACATACTTTGTTCGAGCCTGTCGAAACCTAACTGAAGCCGAGAAAAACGCCGTAAAGACAGAATTTGCCAAAACTCTGACCGATCAAGGCGTTTGTCTGAAACGCCAGACAAAAGTCTGCGACATGAAGAACGTCGGTATTATATGTGGACACACTAAACGCAGACGACGAAGAGGAATTGAAGAAGAAATTGACGAGATTGGATTTCTCTTCGACGTTAGTGCACACAAGGTAGAAGATAAGGCCAAGGATTGCGATAAGATATGCCGATTTTTGCGAATTCCTCAATACCGATGCTCCAGTCTGTGTGAAAGAACTTACAAACGGTTTCTGAAAGCAGCAGTTCTCTATAGCAAACGGAAAATTCACGAAATTTTCACCCAAGAGGAGGGCCGGAGGGCAGCATTTACGTCTGCTAATAGGGATTTTGAGCCAGAGGACGTTGCAATATCTGACGTCATAGTGGATTGTGAAGCTGGGATGAAGGTGCAAGGAGATTTTTGTAGTAAGTCCTCAAACTAAAAATCCTCTTATATAACCTTCTTTAACAACCGAATAATACACTCCTATAGAACTTAAATTCAAACTCGAAATGAACATTACACTGAAATTAATCAAACGGCGAATAAAATTTGTAATTACGAGAAAATATATTATAATCATAGTCAACACGTAGCACGAGACTTTCAAACACATTGAGAATTATGGGACCTATTTCCTATAATAAGTTAATGGTTAATGTCATATGTCCCCTTAACACTTGAATTAAACAATTTATGCGTGTTTCAGGTTAATGGCAAAACTGTCATCACCTTTTGTTATTTCTGTTATTCCAGTCCCGTGTTCAAATGGTACTTTCTATCACCAAAGAACGAACAGGTGCATTCCCTGCCCTGTAGGAACATATCAGCCAGATCACAAGCAAACACGATGCTTGGCCTGCCCAACTGGGACCTCGACATATAAAACTGGCCAGACGAAATGCAGAGGTAAGATTTTGTTTTCCGACATGATATAAAGAATAAAGTTTTATATATATATATATATATATATATATATATATATAATTGGATTTCAATTGTATATTATTTCAATTGTGTATTAATTTAGCAATATTTTTGGAAATTAAGTGGACACATTTCCCTTCGTTTGCGTAATAAGTGCCTAAGAGCCAACTACTGATAAAAACTTATGCTTGGCCTTCTAAAATATATTCATAAGAACACATTTCCCTCTATACAGATCTAACTGAAGATTTTAATTTGTCATCTTTATATTCTTTTTAAGCATGTCCCGAGTCAAGATTTGGTAGAAATTGCCTAGGTCACTGTTCCTGTGTGCACGGACATTGCAACCCGGTGGATGGGAGTTGTAGTTGCCACAGTGGCNCTACCACATATGGCATTTAACACAATAATTGAAATCGGTGGTATTGTTTATAATTATTGAATCATTATTAATAAAATAAAAAATATCCCTCCAACTCCAAATGCAGAGATCACGTGTGGCGAACCACCTAAGTTGAAACATGGTGCCATTATCGGAAATAGGTTCACCTTCGGGTCTCGAATATCGTTTGAATGTGAGGCTGGTTATCGACTGGTTGGAGAACCTGTATTGGAGTGTGCTGACGATGGGCGGTGGAATGGGGATGTGCCGCGATGTCAAGGTGAGTGAAAACATGTTTCTCTAAAATAGGTAATTGGATGGATAGATGGATGGACGAATAGTTAAACAAACAAAAGCAAAGATATATGGAGCATCCGAACAATCCCTCTAATCTTTTCACACGCAGGCAATTGTAAGCTATGTCTTATGCTTTATCTTCTCCTTCCAGCCGCCATATGTGGTAATCCAGGTTCACCAGACAACGGCGCGAAGGACGGCAGCGTGTACTACTATCCCCACAACGTCACGTTCAGTTGTTTTGACGGCTATGTGCAGACGGGTCATGACAAGATTATGTGTATGGAAAACGGCCAGTGGAGTGCTGGTATTCCTGTTTGCGAAGGTTTGTCACTATTCTGGTTTTGGTTTGATAAGAAGATGCGTCACGATTGTGTTTTTTTTCTTGCCAGTGAGTCTTGGTACCGAGGTTAGAAGGATAGCAAACCAAGTTCTGACTGGGAAAATCCTAAATGTAATGGGCAACATACATGGTTTTGAAAGGGTTAATTTATTAAATTAATTTTCTTACAATCCTCGACAAATTACTAGTGTTAGTTGACTCTCAGTCTATCTATTTCAAATGTAAAAAGTCTTTCATGATGATCTTCTACCACTTTTTCTTCAACTGATTATGGCTAAATAAGCGATTAAACACATTGTACAGTTCCATTACTATTTAGGTAGCATATGAGTGACACGGATTAAATAAGTTAATAAGTTAATAAGCACAAAAATTTTAAAGCTCACAGTCTCGGCTTTTTCCATGTTCCAGCGTGCCCAGTGAACAGTTACAAGGGTGACACTGAAGTATGTGTGCCTTGCCCCAGCCATACTCACACTGTCAGCGAGGCCAGCACTACCCTACTGCAATGTCTGTGTGATGAGGGGTATACTGGAACACCAGGACAACCCTGTGAAGGTATGGTAGACCCCCTCCGCCCCCCTCCCCATTCTGTTTGTTAATGAGGAAAATCACTAGAAAGTGAAAAAAAACAAGATATTCCGCTACCCTGAATCAGGGGTTCACCCGAATTAATTGGAATGACTAGCTGAAAAAAATCATTTGTATTGATTTAAAACACTAATGCAGTATGTATTTAAGTCGCTCGAAGAAAATTTGAGGAAACTCATATAGGCTATCTTGGTGTTAATTTTTTTATGCCTTATAAAAATCCAGAGATCGCGTGTCCGCTGCTGGACGCGCCGGAAAACGGCAGCAAGTCGGACTGTGGAAATAAATGGAATGACGTCTGCGAGTTTGATTGTCGAGCTGGATATATCATTAAAAGGGGCAGCAGTCGAAGAACTTGCCAAAGCAACGGAGAATGGACTGGGAGTTCTCCTATATGTTCTGGTAAGTTTCATCTTTCAAACTATGAATTAATGTTACTGAACCTCGCGTGGAAAGCCGGATGCCATCAGATCCACACATATCATATCGATGCACGCCTCTGATGTCTTCTGCTGTCACTATCAGAATTTGAAATGATAGCTGTAAAATGATAGCATTCCCTGCATATTAAGCCAATTGTTCTAGTTTGCCGGGGCTTTATATCGTTTTTTGTATTGTAGAGGGAAATGAAGAGTTTACAAATTGTTCCAGTAATTTATATGAAACAATACTTTCACTGATAAAACATTTAGCTTTGTAAAAACCATCATTGTTAAATTATTGAAAATGTTACCATTTTTATTATTGTCTTTTCTTTCAGCTTGTCCTAAGGATACCTTTAAGTCCGATCAAGCCAGCTGTCTTCCTTGTCCTAAACACTCTCATACAGCCGGCACGGGGAATATGCTGGAGGGGTGCTCATGCGACACTGGTTATCAGGGTCTCCCCGGGGGACCATGCACAGGTAAACAAAATAATCTTGTTCTTCTCACAATTTTTTTTCAACTGAGTCAAACGGGGTGATTTCACATTTTCTACTCATAATGCAGAGTTACTAAGCCTACATATACACTGCACTATACACATGCCTACATTATGTTATTCACTATTACTAAAAACGACTTTAAAGTCACCCTTTTCATTATTTCAAGATAAGAACGAATGTCTTGTGAACAATGGCCGCGGACTGTGTGAAGATGTATGTGAGAATAATGATGGAGGTTACCAATGTCGCTGCTCCATACCCGGGTACGATGTCGATCCTCTGGACATGCATAAATGCCGAGGTATGTGTTTTACTCGTCTTCAGGTTTGCCTCAAATGTTGATTAAAAAGCTAGTGACATGTATTCAGCGACGTCCATATGTGAATGAAAGATCATAATTAAAAACATCGTGGGGTTTCAAGTTATTTACATATTTTTTGTATTGTTTTCACAATATAAAATAAAATCATGAAATGGATCCGATAGAAACCAGTAGTCAAATTCGTATGATGGGATTCAGCAATCACACTCTTACCATTCTTTGTATTTTTTGTAGTCGATAAGCAATGTCGTAACCTGACTGAGTCTGACGCACCTACCAATGGTGGCTTGGTGTGCCACTGGTACAGGGAGCAGAACTCTCAGCAGTGCTCAGTTCGCTGTAATCCCGGCTACGAGTTCCCGGCCAGAGTTAACAACTACGAAACCTGTGGATCTACAACTGGCTTTATTTGGTCCCACGAAGAAAGAGAAGAAGTGATTGAACCATGTATTGGTGAGTTTGTAATGGCCCCTAATTTTAATTGCCGAGTATAAATTTCACAACCCTATTTCTCAACGCAGAAGAGAGGAAACCTTGTTGATAATGTAAAAATATATATTTTGCAAAACTGAAGAAAAAGAAATAAACTTAAAATAGTAGAAAATAAATGTTTTATCTTCGGAAAAAGTAACATATATTTTTCATTTCCAGAGGAATTCTTCCCAGATTTTCGCCTGGAAGCCAATTCCACATACTTTGTTCGAGCCTGTCGAAACCTAACTGAAGCTGAGAAAAACGCCGTAAAGACAGAATTTGCCAAAACTCTGACCGATCAAGGCGTTTGTCTGAAACGCCAGACAAAAGTCTGCGACATGAAGAACGTCGGTATTATATGTGGACACACTAAACGTAGACGACGAAGAGGAATTGAAGAAGAAATTGACGAGATTGGATTTCTCTTCGACGTTAGTGCACACAAGGTAGAAGATAAGGCCAAGGATTGCGATAAGATATGCCGATTTTTGCGAATTCCTCAATACCGATGCTCCAGTCTGTGTGAAAGAACTTACAAACGGTTTCTGAAAGCAGCAGTTCTCTATAGCAAACGGAAAATTCACGAAATTTTCACCCAAGAGGAGGGCCGGAGGGCAGCATTTACGTCTGCTAATAGGGATTTTGAGCCAGAGGACGTTGCAATATCTGACGTCATAGTGGACTGTGAAGCTGGGATGAAGGTGCAAGGAGATTTTTGTAGTAAGTACGCAAACTAAAAATCCTCTTATATAACCTTCTTTAACAACCGAATAATACACTCCTATAGAACTTAAATTCAAACTCGAAATGAACATTAGACTGAAATTAAAGCAATAATAACTCTTCCTTTGAGATTCAAAATTCCGCAAGAAATACATTGTAAACGACGCCTGGAAATATATTCTGTTGCATTTTCCCACTAAAACGACTGTTATTGTAGTAAAACTAAAATCTGTGCTTGTCACTTGGGCTTTCGATGCTTTCTTCGCGGTCGACAAGTGCATCCGTTGCTAATGACGTAATGGTGTCACGCGGATTCTCGCGTTCATTCGAGACCAAAATAACATGGCGGGAAACCCTCAGACGTAAGTTGCGAGTTTTTTACAGTGCGTCGGATAACGAAAAGCCCAGAATTGCACACATTGTAGATATAAATGCATTTTGAGCAAAAAAGACGAATATATCTTATGAATCTTATAATATTGTTATATAGTGTTGCTGTCTGCTTTTCCCGCGGTTTTAAGTAGGTCACTAGAAACTATCGCTCGATACGAGAGGGCTCCGTCAGTTAAAATCTCTTAAGAGATTTTAACAAAAAACCGTACGTTTAGGAAAAAAACCCTGGATTAACTTTGCATGCAGGAATGGGGTCGTTGACCATTGGTAAGTACGGGAAAATTGCCGTTTTTTCCAGGAAAATCGTATTTTTGGCCAAAACGAAGAGTTATTATGACTTTAATCAAATGGCGAATAAAATTTGTAATTACGAGAAAATATATTATAATCATAGTCAACACGTAGCACGAGACATTCAAACACATTGAGAATTATGGGACCTATTTCCTATAATAAGTTAATGGTTAATGTCATATGTCCCCTTAACACTTGAATTAAACAATTTAAGCGTGTTTCAGGTTAATGGCAAAACTGTCACCACCTTTTGTTATTTCTGTTATTCCAGTCCCGTGTTCAAATGGTACTTTCTATCACCAAAGAACGAACAGGTGCATTCCCTGCCCTGTAGGAACATATCAGCCAGATCACAGGCAAACACGATGCTTGGCCTGCCCAACTGGGACCTCGACATATAAAACTGGCCAGACGAAATGCAGAGGTAAGATTTTGTTTTCCGACATGATATAAAGAATAAAGTTATATATATATATATATATATATATATATTTATATAATTGGATTTCAATTGTATATTGTTTCAATTGTGTATTAATTGAGCAATATTTTTGGAAATTAAGTGGACACATTTCCCTTCGTTTGCGTAATAAGTGCCTAAGAGCCAACTACTGATAAAAACTTATGCTTGGCCTTCTAAAATATATTCATAAGAACACATTTCCCTCTATACAGATCTAACTGAAGATTTTAATTTGTCATCTTTATATTCTTTTTAAGCATGTCCCGAGTCAAGATTTGGTAGAAATTGCCTAGGTCACTGTTCCTGTGTGCACGGACATTGCAACCCGGTGGATGGGAGTTGTAGTTGCCACAGTGGTTGGGAAGGGCGAAATTGTGATACAGGTAAAATACCTGCATTCTTACACAGACTTTTAGTTGTTCCTGACACAATTTTAAAGACTTTTTTGCTTCAGTCCTTTGCAAAATGACAAAATGACCATTCGTTAGCTATCATCTCTACATATTCAAATATGAATCCTCCATAGTTAGCCAAGCCATACCAGGGTGAATGAATTCAAGTTATAGGTCATGTTTTTTTTCTGTTATTAATTTTCTTTATCTTAAGCAGTTAATTACCATCAACTATTTTTCCCCTCAGAAAATTTTTTTGCTCAAAGATATCTATTTTTTGCTTTTCAATATATTATTTTCTTTTTTTAAGACATCCAGAGTTGCTCGGAAGACAGTTGCCCCCCAGGTGTGACGTGCGAGGATGTCCCCGCGCCAGGAGTAGGTTTTTGCTGTGGAAGATGTTCACAAGGAATTGTTGGGAATCGGACTATGTCCACTCCTGTTATCGGTCGTTAAATGGTGCTATATTTCTTGTTTGAAGGCTAAACTCTATGTTGGGAACAAACGACTTGAATTCTTAATAACTATCAGCTGTCAGCAGTAAAGAGCTAAAGCAAATGCTTAGTACTTCATATTTACTGTATAGCTATATCTTGCATAAATATATAGCTCATGTATAAAAATCAAAGGCGTAAAATGAATACACAAGTTTGTAGTCAATATGTGATCATGTATTTCCATACTTCTAAAGAAATGTCATTAAAAGTGATATTATTATCGGCCAACCGGATGGGTACATAAACTAAGACAAGAAACAAGAAATTCTTGCAGCCATATTTTACTTAACGAGAATCTTGAAGAGCATAATGCCGGTTGCTTATGTTTCCTTGCTTTCATAAGCAAACTCGAAAGAAATGCTTCGCCTCTGCAAGTACCAAGCTACCCATTATGGCTAGCAAACATCGGGGCTGACTGAACAGAACCCACAAAAGTTGGCAAAAGCAAAATAAAATAGTATCTTTATTTGCTACATAAAATGTTGTTAAGGATCATCTATTAGTAATAAACTTAAATCTACGAAAAAGTAAAGTTAAGTTAACAGTTTAAGGTACGCAGCAAGAACAGGCACCATAAATTGTAACTCATTAACCTCTAGAAATGGATTAGCACCTATTATTCACAAACCCAAAAGGCTCAATCAGTTAAACTAATCAACTGTGTCCAAGAACCTAGTTAATGTCATCGTTGTCCAAGCTCTTCGAATGATCCCACCATCAAAATATGCAGAAAGTGTTAAACAGTCGACACTGTTTTCTATGTTGATCATCTGGTTGCTTTCACATCCTCAATTATAACTATTAGGGTCTGTGCACTGTAAGAAAAATAAACTATTTAATAGTTTGTTCTGCTCTTATCGCAAACACTGTGATAAACTGGTGTAGGAGCATTCTTTGGCCTCAACGACAGAAACAGTGCACGTACACTGCGCCTGTGTCATGCGTCCAGGTGTGTGCATGCGTGTTGGGACGTGTAAATTAGGTCGCAAAAACATCTCAAACCCTAGTCTTAGCATGGATATTATAGCCTCTTAGAATGTGAGTTAATGTAAGAACTTACCGCACATTCCCTGTGACAACGTCATACCATCCCCACATTTGATTGCTGGTTGCTTGGTAACCGCCACACCGCCTGCTGGGACCATCTGTAAACCATCGATAAATAAAGCCATAATTGGCCCCTGCGAACCCATGGTCCGAAACGAAGTTTCGGAAGATGACTCCTTGGTCGAACCCACGTTGAAAAGAGTCTCAAGTTGCGATCTTGTCTGTTGTAACACGACAACTCCTTGGTGTTCTACTTCTTGAAGACAAATGGCATTGCAGTTTTCGGAGTCTGCAGCCTGACCCTTGTTAGTGCATATGGCGTCACAGTTCACGGAGCGCTTTGGTACCTTATCTTTTTCGAGTGTGATTTTGAAAGTCAGTTTAGCGGGGTTGGTATCTCTTTTTCGCCTCGAAGAAGAATCGCAAGAGATTTTCACGTCAGTTATATTGCAAACGCTCTGCCCATTTAATGAGCATATGCCCTTAGACTGCAGCAACTGAATCATTTGGTTTTTTGCTTGGGCTTTTTGACTGTCAGTAAGTCCACCGCATGAACTAACAAAATAAGCTACTTCTGCTTCGATTTCTACTCCGGGAAAGAATTGTTCTGAAGAAAAGAAGAAAAATAGAGATAAACCGACCACAATGAAACTGTTCTGGAATCAATAAAATGCATCTTTAAACATACATGAATTGGCAGGTAATGTAATGGAAATCATATTACAGTGAACTTTTCACTACATATGTACAATCAGTATTTAGGGATCTTTGGGACGCCTGCCCAAAAGACAGACCGAAAAGACGAATGCCACTGAAACTTCAAACGCCAACCAAGTGAAAAAATCTTTCAAATTTGAGAATAAATAGAAAGTACTTGCAGAACTTTGTGAACTCAATCTGGCATGCGACTGCACATTTGTGATAATAAAGTTGATGGTGGATTTTAAAACACAAAAGACTCACCAACACAGGGGGGAATTTCTTCCTCGTTTGCTTCGTGACTCCATAACCAGTTAGTTGAAGATCCGCATTCCTCAAAGGCATTGGTTCTGTCTATGTGCTCAAATCCTGGGTTACATTTAACTTCACATCGTTTGGTATTTGTCACTCTGTCATGGTGACATACCAGACCGCCATTTGCTGGAGGGGTGAGCTCTGAGCACTCTTTGGCAACTTTGGAAATTAAAACAAAACATTCCTAAAAATGATAGTGGTACATGTAGGCCCTATTAGTGGGTTTACCAAGCTTATTATAGAAAATACTCATGTACTTGTGTACATACATGTATAGTATATGCACTATTTTTTATTTAATGACAATCACTAAGACAGTTACGTCTTTCACTTTTCCCCCAAAATTATACACCCTACCTGTACAAGACGAAGGACGAGTTCCATTGATTTCATATCCAGGTAATGTGCATGCGCATTTGAAACTTCCGGGCTTATTTTCACACGTTTGCTCGCAACCACCATTATCCTGTCCACATTCATCGATGTCTGCAAAAAAAAAGATTCATTGAATCAGTGTAACCGAATTCAAATTCTGATCAGTTTCCATTTCTCAGCATCATGAGCTCTTTTGAATATAACGAACTCTTTTGTTAATTTCGCATTTTTACACCTTGTGAAGAAAGAATTGGAGCCAACTAGAGGAGAGAGCCCAAGACAAGGGTGGCTGGGGTATCTTGTGGGTGGCTTTCCTCCAAGAGTAATAGAAATAATCAGTTTGTTGGGTCTACTACATGTACCTTGACATGGTCCGCCGGCAGGCCCACTGTATCCGGAGTTACATACACAGTTTTGAAGCTCACTCGCTATACTGGTGGTATGTGAAAAGGGCGGGCAGCCATCACAGGCGGTATCACTGGACTTGAAAGTGTTGATTGGACATGCTAAAAAACAAATAATTGGGTTGAAACACTGAGACATACTGTATGACCAGCTGGTAGGGAAAATAAAAAGCATTCAGTATGTTTTCTGTTTGTTTCTGTTATAAAAGTTGGAAATTAAAAACATGCTGTTTTAAAGTGCTTGTGGCCATTTTAACAGCTAATCAACACAATAATTGTCCATATCACCAGAACATGTCGGTTGTATTCCGGTCCATCTTCCATCCTGTCTGCAGACTCTCTTGGCATCCCCTTGGGTTCTAATGAATCCATCTCTACAGGCGAACTCACACACGTCACTGACGGTTGTTTGACATTGAGAGATTGTGCCATGCTCAGGCGCCGACAAACTGGAACACTTCACCTCTGAAAGAAATTATAAAAATGAAAATACTGTAGAATATGCAATACTGAATGAAGAATGCAAGTTTTTAATTACATACCAACGTCTATTATGACGCAAACGTGCATAGAATTTTCCTTTACTTGCCAAGGAAGTCGAAAACCAATTCTTAAAGTTCTTCTGATTGTTAACCATAAACCAGTTATAAACCAGAAATAGAAATCTAATCGGTCTTTCCATAGATGACGGCCCTACCTCCACATGGTCCTCCCGGTGGTCCTTGAAATCCAGTGTCACAGAGACACTGCTTTATGGTAGTAGAGCCTTTTAACAAAGTGTGAGAGTTGGACGGGCATTTTAAACACACGGGTCTTGCATTGACGCCATCTTTGAAATAACCAATTTGACACGCTGAAACGAAAATATGTACGATATTCTGGAAATGGCAATCACATAGATAGCTAAATTAAAGATAGATCAGCTTTTACGGAAATGTGTTATTCCATTTTAATGAAATACAACCAGTGCATATTCCTCCATCGCTAAAGAGTGCAAGCAAAAGGTTTAAGAAAAAATTCAACTTACATATAGAGGTAAGCAAAAAAATAAAAATAAATAAATGAATTAATAATTACCCACGTACGATCTGCATATAAAATAACAAGTTACTTGTTATATGTAGGTATATTAAGCTCGTTTACCATTACATACAGGCACCGGAGATGACCAGCTACCGCCACTGGTGCAGTTTATCCTTTCAGCTCCGTTCAGAACATACCCTGGCTGACATGTAAACGTAACCTGGCCCATGAACGTGTATGTGCTCCCTTGCTTTCCGCCATGAACAGGAGTGCCGGGGTCACCGCAACTTATGGCTACAATCAATAAATAGGTTTGCAGGAAATATTCAACTACTACGGGTAATCTTGTGATGCCGATGATTTCTAAAATCCCCCAAATCCCCTCCCCAAAGTTGAAAGTTGCTCCGTGCATTTGCACTCAGTTTAACACATAAAAAGTATTGGCATTACACGAATGGTTTATGTAAACAGTTTTGAATCACCGTCTGTATCTTACGACTGCATAACCAGTGTGAAATAAATGGGAGATGCAATATACATGTAAATTTAAGTTTTCGGTTCAGCTTTAACGATCAATTACAGGCTACACCTAATGTAAATCTACATTTCCCCTCATCTTTATCTACATCATATTACGGTGACAATTAAATATATAATAACAAATGAAAATCCAACATTTTTGGATTCAACAAGAGTAAATGCTTAGCACTACTAACGTTGGCACAAAGGCTGTCGACCACTCCATGTTCCTCTTGGGCCGAAGCCACCACAGGTTCGTGAGGACTCTCCGCGTAACTGGTGGCCAATACTGCATGAATAGGAAGCGACCTGGCCGTGCTCGTACCCTTCCACAGTGACCACACCATTCGGGGGGTTGCTTACACGGTCGCATATTGTTTCTGTGAAAAAGAAAAAAATGTCTGTCTACTTTAAACTGAAAAATAGACCTGAAAAGTCGGAGAAAACAATCAAATCAAAAACCTCTCACTTCTGTAATTATTTTCCCAACTTAATGTTTAACCTTTTGTACATGTATGAACTGTTTTCTCTTTTTCGTCAAATATAGGAAGTATGAGAACATCATATTTGTAACCAATTTAACTAAAACGATTTTCGGACGTTACTTACTTTTACACAGAGGTCGAACGCCATCCCATCGTCCCGAGGCGAGGCAATTCCTAACTGTTGAACCTTCTAAATAATAGCCAGTGGTACACCCAAAATAAGCCATGGACTTGTATGTAACCCCATTGGTCATCATCCGTCCACCATCTGGAGCTTTAAGCCGTGGACACGTCACAACTAGATGAAAAATATAAATAAATAAGTAAATAAATAAAAAGCAGGTATAACAAGATAATATGTTTAACATACGAATGCTGTGCATAACACATAAATCAAACAACACTTTTACTTACTGTCACATTTTGGTTTTCGCGCGCTCCATCTTCCACGACCTTCACACGTCAGAATACTGGCGCCGCTTAGACGATAGCCCGTGTCACACTGATATATGACGGAGTGACCAAACCTGAAGTCTGTCCCGGTCCTAGTGCCGCCGTTCAATAAACCCGGATCTCGGCAACTAATGACTGGATAATTGAATGAAAATTTGAAATCAGACCAAGATGGATTCTGTGCTGGACATACAGGAATAACTAAGCTCTTTTTATCCTGTTACAGTATGAAAAGCTTTATTATTATTATTATTGTTATCATTATTATATTATTATTATTATTATTAACATCAAAATTACAGTATGCCATTTCCAATGGTAAATATGAAAGCAAAGCAAAACTGTTCTATTGCATTACTTTCATGACTTACTTTCGCATTTTGGTACGTAATGACTCCATTCACCATTATCCTGACAAATTCGAGAAGTTGGTCCTCGAAGACGGTAACCAGTTTGGCATGAGAATTTGACTCGAACATCATAAGAATGACTTGACAGTAGCGAACTCACGTCGCCATTTTCTGGCTTTCCAGGAAAACCGCAGCTGACAGCTAGAGAAAACATGAAACACTAAGAAGACGGAACTGCGTTTATAACGTACTTGCAATAGAGTTTCTTATTTTGGGTTGATTTTCAACATGTGGTTGGGTTTTGAAGTTAATAATCGGCCATATGGATCTTAAGAGGTCTTAAGGGGCATTAAAAGCAGGATTAGCTTACAGTAGTGGTTTTAGGTTAAATATAAATGCAAACAAATTTATAAACAGGTATCGGTTCTCCAAATAAAGCCTTGTACATCCCTTCCTATGCTTACACATTAAATACCTCAACGTAAATCTTATATAAACTTTTGATAAAATTAGGTCCCGCCCAACTTATATTAATAAAGTTATCAATACACCCGTGTTACATCAGGTGCCGGACAACGAATTTCTACCATTGTATCTTGCCATACCAGTGCCGCAACAGGTTCCGGCGAAACCAGGCGGACATGCGCAGGCAAATGGCCCGAGTGTTCCACCATTAAGGCATTGTTGGTTGCATGACTGTTGCTCCTTTCTTTTTCCACTGCACGAAGCCAGCAGTTCAGCTCTATAGGCACCACACTGGCTTGGAACCACGGGGCTGCGGGAGCGAACCCTGCTGCCAAGCAGAGCACATTGATGGGAGCAAGACGTCCACACTGTCCAGCTTCCCCAACAGTTCTGGCGGCAATAGCTGTAACGTGTTTCATAAATGTCTACAACTTAATGCTGTCAAAAATGCTTTGCAACAATTACTGTGATACATCAATAAAAAGAAACGTTATGCACTATAGGTAAAGAGAGAGAGAGAAAGAGGAAGCAGTGACACATATAGAGTATAGACATCTTTGTTTGATAACAAACACCTCGATCTGTTTGAATCATTACAGCAATAAATAAATAAATTAATTAATAAAAATAAAATAAATAAAGTCAACATGAAGAGACAATGTATTACAAAAAATTCCTATAGTTTAAATATTCTATTTCCTGCAGTGAAAAAAGCGTAAATACCTGAATGATGAAGCGGAATCTATATGTTAATAAATGAAATTGCCAATTAAAAAATTTTGATTTTTTCTGGGAAACGTGATTGTAGCATCCGCTTCGTAGGCTATGTTTATAGTCAAGTTAAAAACTAAAATTAAAGCCACGATCGGAATAAAAAATAGGATGCATTTTTCTTTCTTGAATAATTGAATGTATATAAAAAAGGGCTCTAGAACAAATGTTGCACAGCTCATAATGTTACGGCTCCCCTTGCACTTACTTGTGTAGTCTGTCTCTTCTTGCACTTTCATCTCTTCTCTCGTTACTTTCTTTATTGTTTTCGCCAGTAATTAATGGAATGAAAAACCATCCTCTCCGTTTAACCCTTGAACGAGCAACGAGGAATGACTTGGCACTGTCTTCGCTGAAGCTCAGGTCGTAGATTTCAGCATGTTCCTGCCTGGTGCTTGCGAGATATAATGCAAAGTTCAACTTAACAGATATTTTGCTTTTTACAGTAAGTATGACCGGAGCATGCGAAATGACTTCTCAAAATAACCCATCAAAGTGAATTTTGGGAATGTTTCGATACATTTCTTCCATTTTTTTCATAAACAAGCATTCATACGTTTTATGATTTATCGATATTTAAGTTGGAATTAATTTCATCTATTATTTATATTTGTTGCCAACATGAGCTTTTTTTCAATTTTGATGATTTACAATTTTAATATCTCGTAAAGTTTAAATGTTGAACGAGTTTTGTAGGGTAAGGGGACGGAAAGTAGAAGGAAAAAGATGTGAACGTTGGGGCGTATAGGAGGGGAGAGTGATGTCGATAGATTATAAGCAGATATGCGTGTCTGTCATATTACTTTGCTTTGATGTAATTTGCTACAAGACTAGATTTCAAGTAACAAACTGTATTTATGTATTTTGAACTATTTACAATAGCTTAATTGATGTATTCTTTATGGTAGATTGTCTAATTACAAGAATGAAACTGGTAACAATATTGAAAGCGGCTACCCTCTCTGTCCGAGCTGGACACAACCCACACAGGGCAAGAATACAGAGTGGATTCCTGGTACAGTTCTTGCAGCTGGTAGGTATGCACGTCAGTTTAGCGACTGCCAATGGACAGAAAGAAGGGAAAAACTAGGGACCACAACAACACGTACTGAGCTGTCAGTAAACTTATCAGGATAGAAGGTCATCAAAAGCGCAAATTTATATACTATTGTATGCAATCGGAGGACCTTGCATAACATATTTTTCATAACAAAATTGATGACAGGACCCAGACGATGAAAATAAAAAAACAATAAGTTAATTTGGAAGCACTGCATTTGGAAAAATTAATATGAATTGATATCCATTAATAATTTAGTAATTCAACTTGCCTTGTTTGATCGCAAATCACCAATACGCCAAAACTTAATAGCAGCATAGCCATTGAGCCCACCAATGCGTCCGCCATGATTTTCTGTCAATTAGACTAAACACGAATGCCTAAAAAAAATATCTAGGACAGTTGTGAAAAATATCAGCGCCGTGTCAGAAGATCCGGTTTAGACACACTTATAGCGAAGGCGGTTAAAATGACTATTCAAAGCCAAACATCACAGGTTCCAAGAATTACGGAAGTAGCAGTCACGAGCCTGCATTAAACGGTTGAACATTCAATCAGCTGGGCGGATACAAAATTAATGTAAACACAGAGGAGCGATAAGAGCTGAATTAGATGTACAAGGACTGAGTCCGAGACAATATGGCTTTCATCCGAGGTGCAGTTTTGCTGAGTTTCATCTTATTTTTTGTATTTTCGAAGTGGACTTACTGCGAGGATCAGGGTTTAGTCAGGTATGTACCGGGGGTTTGACGAGTAAGATTTCCTAGGGTTTAAATGCGCTTTTTGATTTATCAAAATCTAAGATTGACGAAAGGTCGATTCATCCACTATTGATATTGTTTTTGCTGTGATTAAGATGAGAGAAAAGTATCAGAACTTAAATACTGCAACCATGTTGGCTGTACACTACATACGTGTTTATACCTTGTACATGCAAGGCGAGTTTTTGGTGAATAAAGACACATGCACATTTTCCCTCGGCAAATTACATCTTTCTCCCTTGCACATGCCGGTATAAACATAATATAACAGTAAACAGTATATATCCAAATATGAATGGTTACAATATAGTAAAAAATATTTTTATTTATATATTTTCATTTAAAATCGCTTCAGGTCAAAAGACAAAGAAGTCTCTGAAAATGATGTGTTGGATTGGAAATTCTTTCTAAGTAACATCAGGCACCGCAGAGACCTCGGCGGACCACTGGTCATTGATCACAGATCCCGCTTTCAGTCTGTCAGTCTTGGACGAAGTAACAGCCTCCCCAATCTCGGCAATCCTTCGGGTCCATCTGGCCGTTCTCGATCAGCCAGTTTGCCATCAATTTCTTCGGGGTTATCTAGTAGTTCTCGATCGTCCAGTTTGTCTTCAATTTCTTCGGGAGGATCTAGTCGTTCTCGATCGTCCAGTTTATCTTCGATATCTTCGAGTGCATCATCTCGTTCTCGTTCTTCCTCGCTGCCTTCGTCCGGGGGCACCGACGCGTGGGGCAAGGCTGGAGCTATAGCCACGGGATTGGCTGTCGTGTCTGGTATTGCCCAAATAGGAGTTGGAATTGCAGGTAATCTTTTATTTATTTATTTATTTATTTATTTATTATTTGCTTTATTGTCTTTTAATCCTTGTTTTCGTTTTTTCATTTTTTGTGTGTCTACTTATTTATTTATTGTTGACCGTTTTAATGTTTATTCCACGTGTTTTTTATTGTGCTCTGATTTGTCTCCATATTCCCCTGTTTCTTTATTATAAAGTTATCGAACCATGTCGGATGGAAGTGTAAATCTACCTATCTCTTTTTCATATGAAGCACAAAAGGTTTGCGGTTACGCTTAAGGTTATATACCAACGTTGGTCCGTTGGTATATACACTAGAAATAAAATGTGATATAAAAGCGGCCATTTATTTGAATGTTATTGCTCGGTGTATTCTAAGTTGATACATTATTTACCTAATTACTGAAGCTGAACTGCAATTTTCAATTCACGCAAATATGGATTTGCAGGTATAGTATATTATTGTTTGCATAATCGTTTCGAGGTTGCTGATTCTACATGAACAACTGGAGTTTTTTTTTCTTTTTTCCAATTTGGTAAAAGCTTGATATCATACATGAGAGCTATAAATATTATCAGTCTTTAATTTGGATTTAAGCTGTGCAGATTTGAACGGAAACTATGTGCAAATGCGTGTCGATTTTTCTGCTTTTGTCTGTAGACCTACATGTACTACCACTGTCATTCGTTGCAAAAGCATTTGTTCTACATATTCACGTTCAATTTTTTTTCTTTTATCTCAGTGCTAGAGTAAAGATTTGATTTTTGTTTAGGTATCGTTGAGAGTAAGAGACAGGCTGAACTGGCAGAGAAAAGATTTGAGAAGGAGTTTGCCCTTACAATTGAACAAATGTGCGAGAAAGTATGTGTCTCTCCGTGGACACAGTGGAGCCGGTGCACGGCAAGGTAATAATTCCAAGTAGATTTCGTTATTTTAATTAGAGAGAGGGGGGAGGGGGTGCCCAATAAGAATCCCACTTTAACCCTCTCGTTAAATGGCACTTTATGTATTGGAATTATTTATTCAAGCATTTTGGTACATATCCTATACCATTAAGATTGCATAGACGGGAATACAATTCTATTTAGACAGACAAGTATCTGAAAGTGAACGATTAAATGACGACAGAATGAGCGCTTTATCATTTTTGGGGTTACCGTGAGTGAAAAAACGGCCAATGTCAGAGCCGATAAGCATGCCATGTAGTGAAGATGCCCATAGAAACTGGGGGTCAGAGCTATTTTGGCTAACAATGTTTTATAGATTCAAGAAAGATATTCAACCTGCGTGCAAACGAAAACTTACAATACAAACGGAGAGAACAAGCGCAATAACATTTTAAAAACTCGGATAATGATGTTGTGACATTGTTCAAAAATACAGCTAGTTTATTTACAGATGTGGTGGGGGGATGCAGCACAGAACACGAAAATATATACCACTGCCAAAGAGATGTAAAGAACTCAGTGAATTTACCTGCACACAGCACACATCTGAGCAACTCCGCTGTAATGAAGAGTGCCCGAACGGCGGGGTGCCAAACGGCCAAGGGAACTGCACATGTCCGACGGGGATCGGAGGGAAATGCTGTTCTAACGGTATGCCAAGTTCAATGTTTTGAGATATCTGATTACTGACAGAATATAAACTGCATTTTGCTTCATGTATGTTTGCTCTTGTACAGAAGTAAGTTTTTCTTGCACTGCGGACGTATCGAACTGCCCAGTGAAATAGAATTGACTGATTTTTCAATCCCATTTACTGAAATCTGTAAACGATATAAAATTGATTTTATATTGTTACAATTAAGCCTAGAGTTGAAAAAAAAAACATTGCAAAGATCTTCGTTTTGATTTGATTTATTATCATAAAAGCGCACACTGTCATTTTCGAGCACAGTCACCGATGTCGTGAAGCTTAAACTTATACCTCGTTGAGCATATTACATATTTGCCTTTTAGGCCTACTTGTCCAGTTCTAGACTCTTCTGTCTTCTACCGGTGCCACCAATGAATGAAGCATATCTCAAGTCAGATCTGTTTATTTAGGCTGGTCATTTTTTTTATCTTAACCGAACCGAGAATTTAAACCTTTCAGATGTGACATGCAGTTACCCGGGTAAACCCAGAAATGGAGAAGTTCGTGGCACTTGGCCCGCCATTTACAACAGTATTGTTACTTATTCCTGTGACGAGGGGTATTCCTTAAATGGAGAAGAGGTCCTCTTCTGTACGAAGAGAGGCACTTGGAGTAGCAAGACCCCAACTTGCGAAAGTAAGTTTTCTGTCTGCATACTATATCGCCATTTCGACTTTGTTGGTGAAAATAACCAATTAGTTTGCCGACCTACAAGTGGGCGTTTGAAGATAATGTGACCTTATGTTCCTCATCGTATTACTCATACAGAAATTGCTTTTCATATAATAAAATAAGATATTTTATAGTAACGCATCGGTGATATATTTTTCTTAACCAGGAATAAAATGTGCCAAACCTGTTATCTCTGATGGCGTCCGTCTATTGAATCCAATGGATGAATATGTCTTCGGCGAACAGATTGCTCACATGTGTGAAGACGGCTACCAGCTGATAGGACCCGAGTTTAGGACCTGTATGGCATTTGACGGAAACTCAGGGAGGTTTTCAGGATTCAGTCCTTTTTGTGATAGTGAGTTGCAAACACACACACACACACACACACACACACACACATCTCTAATGATTTTCACCTAGGAGCCAATATTGGACACAAGCTTTCACGCAGTTTAAGTCAGTAAGTCAATTATTTAGTAAATGAATCTTTGAATAGTTTGATCGGGTTGAAAAAATAGAGAAAGTGCATTTTCACGTTTTAGAGGATTTGCTATCAAAGGTTTTGTTTGAGGATAGCTTAGTTGTTGCACTGTAGATTGTAAAGTGTAATATTAAAATAACTGTTTTAAAATCGCTAAGGCTTTCAGAATCTTTTTTAGTTTCTTTGACATAAATCTAAATATGCTCCAACTTTTTTCAATTACAAAACTAAATCTTGGTAACACAATACCTACATCTTTGTTTAGAAATCAGTTGCGGAGAGCCAGGTACTCCGAGGTTTGGAGAACTCAGTGGAACCAAGTTCAAGTACAATGATGTGGTGACCTACAACTGTACGAGAGGCTACAGACTAGAGGGCCCTCAAAGACGACGATGTACACTCAACAAACAGTGGACAGGACGGGAACCCACTTGCGTCAGTATGTATCAACTCAAAATATTCAATATGAAATACATATATTTTATATGTATTTCATATATATGACTATTTAAAAAAATATCTTTTGTCAAGATCATGTTGTTGAAAGTGTGATTTATCTCCACAGATTTATCTTCATACGTTTGATGTCTGATAGGGATAACCTTATGCTGGTTATGTAATGGTTCCTTTCAAAATGTACCCATGACTTTTTTTAAAGAAATCACGTGCGCAGAGCCAAGGGATCCAAAGCATGGGCAGTATGTAGGAAAACGGTCAACTTTTCCATTTGCATCTACGGTAAACTATCGCTGCGATCCAGGCTACAATTTGAAGGGGTCAGCAATTGCCCGGTGTACTGAAAGTGGAGAATGGGACGTGCCCGAGCCGGAATGTCAAGGTACATGTACTTCAATGCGATACATCTGCTATCATTGCCATTTTTTGTGAAAAGAGTACTATTAGGAAAGAACAAATTGGACCAGCATCACAAAACGCCCGTAGTAAAGATCATGTGCTTCAGTCAGTTTCATTTTGAACTGCTCTCTCTATCTATACATAAAGAACTTTAGTGATGCAAAATTATCTGTTTGAAAAAAAACTGCCAACATATATGTAAGACTGTGAAGATACCCAGACGTAACATTCCTGTTTCGTTATTTCGGGGAGGCTTATAAATTCATATCCGGCTATCATTATGACATTTAAAACCAATTTTTAACACATTAAAGTATGAAATGATATATCCTTACCTAACCATTTATTTAAATTATTGTTTTTCTTTTTATCAAGAGCTTATAAAATATGTAGGTTTTACCTCCAATATTTCTGTGACTGTCAGTCACCATCATCAGGGAGTAAATGACTAGGGTCATTTCAATTAAAATAATTTAAATTGATACATACAGAGCTAATGAAACTCTTCTCTCACTAACCATTTATGTTGCTTGATGTTAGCTGCAATGTGTGGACCACCCCAAACGCCTTTAAATGGGACAAAGGACGGCAGTGTTTTTTACTATCCCCACAACGTGACTTTTACCTGTTTTAATGGCTACCGTCTCCGGGGTCCCAAAAGGATAACGTGTCTAGCCAGCGGTGCATGGAGTGCAAATAGCCCCACTTGTGAAGGTCGGTGCCCTTTATACACATTACAATAAAGTTAAATTAATCGTGTTGTTGATTGTCGAGGTACTTCGATTCTCATTGTTTAAACGATTTTTAAAATTTAAACGCAAATTTAGGATCTTTGCAGTTTTCTTTTTGTTTTACTGTTTTCCGCAGTCAGAAACAGTTTCGTGTGTAACGTGTAGAAATTATTATACCGAATTATACTGCGATGTAATTACCGGTATCTATCACTTTATTTGTGTATGCGACTATATTTTTCAGCGTGTCCGAAGAACACTTACATGGGACAAGATGACTGCGCCCCTTGCCCGCCCAATACGCACACTGTGACCGAAGCCAGCACAAGTCTCCAACAGTGTATTTGTGACAGAGGGTATACAGGACCGCCTGGTGGACCTTGCCAAGGTTACATTTTAGAGAAATTAAATTATAGCATTTAATTCATTAAAAAATATTCAGCCGCAATGCGTTCTAGTTTTCGATCTACATGTACATATGGCAATCTATTTTTTCTCAGCAGCAATTTCCAGGTGTTTTAGCGATTCATTGATGATTATTCTTTTTGCATTTATTAGCTGTTTGTAAAAGCTTCGCTATTTGTTCATTTATTATTCATCAGTCGATATATCTATATATTCATTAATTTAACCATTTATTCAGTTTATTGCTCATCCTTTCATTTCTTCAGTAGTTCTCTATTTTTTCATTCAGAAATCCTATGTCCCGTTCTGACAGCGCCCAAGAATGGAAGCATGGCACCGTGCGGAAATCGATTGGGAGCTCAGTGCATATTCCAGTGCAAAGAAGGTTTTATCTTGTATAAAGGGACATCACAGAGAACGTGCCAGGACAACGGTGAATGGGATGGAAAACAACCTGCTTGTTCGCGTGAGTAATATGTTCATGTCAGTAGAGCCAACATCTTTTATGCAGCTTGAAGTCAGTAGGCTTATAAAGAAAACTACTACCTTCCTTCAAACTGAAACTGTCGACACAATAGTAATTTGACGTTTATCTTATGTCCTACAGCTTGCCTAGAGAACACTTACAAAGCTGACCAAAAAAGTTGCCTGCCATGCCCACGTTTCTCAAATGCCCCTGGAATCGGTAACGTAAAGGAGAACTGCGTCTGCGACAAGGGTTATCAAGGACCCAATGGAGGGCCCTGCTCAGGTAATAAGTCATAAACTGTTAACAAAGTGGCAAAAAGTTCATTAAAAACTTTAAAATATAGCCTCGTATTATTGAAAATTATATAACGTACATTATTTCATATTTTTATTTCATGTTTTTATATTATGTTTTGCGAATCAGCACTTTTAGATCATTGTTAATTAAGGCAAAATAAAAAAGAAGAATAGTGTTAACTTACATTTTATTCTTGGCAGACATTAATGAATGCTTGTCGAATGACGGAAAAGGACCTTGCAGCGATGTTTGCACTAATTTGGATGGTACTTATAAATGTGATTGCTCTATCCCGGGGTATAAAATAGATCCTACAGATCGTCATACTTGTTTGGGTAAGTAAGATCTACAAGATATTCTGTAGTTTAGTTGACACGTGTATGAAATTTTTGGGCAAATTGAGAACTGGTATTTGTACAAATTATTTGTACTTTGTAGTTGGATCGTATCATAGCGGAAACTTGATCGAGACTGTGTTCTCACGGTAAATTTGAAATGTTCGCAGAAGATAAATGATTTTAAAGAAATTGTTAAAATGTGATGGTTTTGTTAAATGCGATTGTGCTTTATAAATTGACTTTAAATTACTTTTTTACGCACTTACAAAATATGCGAGATTCTTAGACTGCCATTTTCATGTATTTCAGCCTCAATAACATGCCGCAACTTAACGGAAGAAGAAGCCCCAGAGAACGGAGGCCTGGTTTGCCACTGGTACCGTGAGCAAAACTCCCAGCAGTGCACCACCAAGTGTAACCCTGGTTTTGAGTTTCCATCCAGAACTAACGACTACGAGACTTGCGGCCCATCTACCAATTTTACCTGGTCTTTCCAAAACAAAGATCCTAACGAAACACTGGCTGATTGCATAGGTGAGGAATATGTTCACAGCCCATAAGTCCCAAATAAATGGTCAAAAACTTGCATGAGAGCTGAGTAAATAAGTGAATAAACTTTTTCTGTATGGGTATACTTCAAACGACGAATTGACTGCCAAGCAGTTAATGAAAATATTTTACTGGTAATTAATTTAGACCTAAGACTTCGACCTATCTCTTAATGCCTGTTTTTTCTTTTTCAGAGGAATATTTTCCCGAATTTAGGTTTGAGGCTGACTCAGCTTACTTTGTCAAAGCCTGCAACGATTTAACACCTGAGCAACAAGAAGATACAAAGAAGAAATTCGCAGAGAGGCTTAATGAAAAGGGAGTCTGCAAAAAACGTTCATCTCAGATTTGCAGTTTCAAAGATATCGGCATTATTTGTGGACGCACTACAGTTCGCAGACGCAAGAGGGGAATAGATGAGGTTTATCAATCAGTCGACTTTAAATTTAATGTTTCTTCTCTGAAACTTGGAGAAAAATCCACGGACTGTAACAGAATTTGTAGTTTCTTAAAAATTAGAAATGAATGTGACAAGTACTGCATCCCCGCCTACAAGCGTTTCTTGCAAGCCGCGGTTAGATACGCTCGACGACAGCTGGAGGTAATCTATGGATCGAGTGATCACCGAAGTATGGCCTTTAACGCTGCTCAGAGAGATTTTGAACCGGTACAAGACGGATTTAAAGCGTCTGACGTCAGTTTTAACTGCCCTGAGTCTGGAATGAAAGCATCCGAGAATACCTGCAGTATGTAATTCTTTTGTTTGCAATACAAGTATTACTCATGGAAATATTTCTCAAGCACAATTTTATTTATCTATTTTAAAAACTTATTGAATGCCATACCGTTATTCCAATTACCATGGTTATTCATTTTTTCCCCTAGAGCTTGTTTTTATCTAAATAATTTCATACATTATCTTCCCCTGCAACAACATTGTTTCTTATTTACACTGTGAAAGTGATTTTTGTACCTGCAATAAACCTCTTAAGTTATCTTATACTTACCGTAACGCTATCAAGTTACTAACTTAGAAATACCCCTTTAGATATTTTTTAAATCAATTAAAGTAGATCAAATTATTAAAATTAAATGTAACCATGATTTATTTCTAAACAGTCGCATGCCAAGCAGGGACTTACTATGACCAGGCAGAGAATGAATGTGTACCTTGTCCCAGAGATATGTTCCAACCTTTGGCGAGGCAGACTGCTTGTGTGGCTTGTCCTGTAGGAACATATGCGCCTCAGCCCGGGGCTGCTGTGTGCCAAGGTACGCACGAGTATATAACTGATTTTGTTTTGTCACTTGCGAAATTTTTTGCAAGTGTATAACTCTGCTCGTTTGTGATTGTGTGTATGTGTGTGTGTGTGTGATAAAATTCTGTCCTGTCCGGCGCAAGAGGCCAGACTTTTAGAGATTTTTGCTTTCATTTTTTTGTAGATAACTAATAGGTCTAGGATGAACCCTATTGGTTTCATAAGGATCATGTTACCTTCTATATGTAAAAAAAATCCCTGAAGGTTTGAAAAAGTAACATGGCAAATTCCATTGACAAATTTAAACAATTGTGTTTTTAAATAATGTTTATTTACAAGAACATTAAAATGCTTCAAGAACCAGAACAAGAACTTTCTGAGACAACACAGCTGGATTCAGAAATGCCAAAATTTCCGGCACTCTCATATTTCTTTGTTTTCACTCAAGAAGTACTACTGGTGGTTAATTAATATTTGATGGATCTTTTATATTATATAATTGACAAGTCTTTGCATAGTGACTAATTATATTTAAATCAGTTAATTGTCACGTGGGTATATTATTGGATCAATCAAGTAACATCACAGTTGTGCAAGTTAATATCAAAATTTGAAAATGTGTAGCAAAGATAAATGATTGCAGACACACAGCTTTAGCTTCAGGATTGTTTGAGTGTCTTTAAGTGTTCTTCATATAATGCCAACTTATTATAAACTGCAGTCTTGAACTTTCTGATTCCCTTTCCTTTAAACCTCCTTTGTTTTGGAAGTATATTTTTTTTCTTTCTCTTTGTCTTGCAGTTTGCCCTAACAACAAATACGGGGACCGTTGTAAGGACGAGTGCAACTGCGTAAACGGAAACTGCGATCCTCAGACGGGCAAATGCCACTGCACTAACGGATGGGAGGGAGATACATGCGAAATGGGTAAATTCACGTGCGGTCTTTTTTGAAAGAATATCGCTTTGTATGACAGAAAATGGATTCTTTGCAGATTCATTTAAAGCAACCAATCTGACAAGATGGCTAATAAATAATGAAGTTGATTTTAATATTATTATTGACATTGGAATTGATTTAACTCATTTACATGTCTTTAAAATAATTTCCAATATAAAGTTGATATGACGCATTGCTGAAAATTGACACTTTGTGGGGACTAAAATTGCAATCTGATTATTTTTCCTTTTTTTCCTATTGAAATGAAAAAAATTGCAAAGTTCCAAAATTTTAGTTGTAGTTAAAGCAAACAAAACTTAGAAAAAACATCTGCAATATTTAAATCCAGGAGAAATATCATACAGCGTTGTCTTTCAGATATCCCTGGATGCCGAGATGGCGGGTGCTTTCGTAATGTCACTTGTACGGATGTACCAGCTCCAGGATCAGGTTTCCGGTGTGGACCTTGTCCTCCACATTTTGTTGGAGACGGATCTGTTTGTCGTCCTATTGGGTTGTCAACCTTTTGATCGTATACTTAGAACTACGATCTGCCCATTCATCAAACTTTTGCATTTGACTTGTGTTTGATCATTATTCCTTAGCACAGTAACCCACGTTTGCGCATATGCAAAAATAAATTGCTCTAAATTGCAAAATTGTGAAAATTAACAAATTCCTTTGGTAATCACAAAATGCTTGATTGGAGATGATAAAGTTTCATTTGAGACGAATAGGTATCAATTTATCATATTCGAATTCAATTTCCGAATTTTCGAAAATGAGTTTAAACTTTAAGAATGTTAATGATTGGTTTGTAGACTTGAAAACATCTAATTTGTAGACTTGCAAATATCTGATAACAACATGAATTATTTTGAAGTGCATTGTTTATGATCGATATTAGATAAAAGGCATTCACCTCATTGAGAATGTCTATAATTTCTTTGAATAATCCTTTGCTAAAATTTACTGCTAGAAACTCACCAGGAGCTGACTGCGTGATCAAGTTCTATAACGCATGCGCATACGATTTTTCTCTGTGCTGTATTCCACAGGTTTTATTCTGTTTTATTCAGTGTGCAAATAAACTTTTCCTCTCTGATTCTTGACTTACTAATTTAAAATAGTGACTCCCAGTGAAGTATTCCATATGTTTTGAAGGAATTTATTGAACAACGTAAATATTCAACGCAGGCTCTTTAAGTCATGTAAACATTGAGTGATACTGAAAAAGAATGTGGAAGGCAAGATGATTGTAAATCTATAGGAAATGTGTTCATCACTTTAAATCAAAGTCCCGCCCAAATTTCTGCAGAGATAAAGACCTTCGAAAGTTGAAAATTACAAAATCAAAAATCCTTTTCAGTGTTAAAGAGTGTGGTTGATAGAAAAATAAAAGAATGTTTTAGGCCGAGAATATTTGCTTTGGTGGAAGCTGCTGCAAAAAACCTATAATACAGGTTACTTTATCGTCTGCGGTACTAATCTATACCCAAACTGAAGAGAATTATAGAAATTTTTGATGGATTTGACAAAAGTGAATGCTAACCCCCTGATAAGATTTTTTTCAAAAATATCTTGAGGACAACTGCCGTGGGAAATAAAAAGAAAGAAAAAAAAAGAAGAGCAGAGAAAATAAATTTTAAAAAATGTAAGGAAAATGATAAGGAGAGAATAAATGACAAAAAAAAAAAAATAGAAAAATAATTAAGAAAACAATAAAAAGGAAACTACGGAAGCCGACTGGTGCCATATGTTGAAAAAAAATTTTTTATCTCGAAATTTCGAGATAGCATTTTGAAATTTGAACAAAAAAATTTTTTATCTCGAAATTTCGAGATAGCATTTTGAAATTTGAACAAAAAAAAAATTTTATCTCGAAATTTCGAGATAGCATTTTGAAATTTGAACAAAAATATTTCATCTCGAAATTTCGAGGTAGCATTTTGAAATTTGAATAAAAAAAATAATAATAATAGATAAAATACCCACAATGCATGAGGGATGTGAAACCGGAACTACACGAGAAAGCCACATGCTCTACATTCATTCATCTTAGCCTATCTGTTATGCCCGAAAAAGCTGTTTTTTTGTAGAGTCACATAAATTTGACCAAAGGGACTCAATTATTTCTGCCAACGGGAAGTAACGATATGGACCAGGATTTGGAAGACTTCATGAGGGGAAGAGGGATTAGCGACACCCAAATTAATAAGCTAT